CGTGTGGCACCGCTTTCAGTTCAGTACACCCTATCCTAAGTGTGTGTCACAGAGGAGGTTTCCCTCATGGGTTGGAGTACATGTCCGCTCCGACCTCAGGGCCTCTTTGCCTTGTTAACACAACAATCAAATGTGGTTCCACTACCCGGCCTACGCGGCTAGGTTATGTTATGCCCTGTCAAAACCGTGACGTGGATCCTGTCATCCACTGCGCGCTGTTCGCATGGACCCAAAAGCCCCACTTCGTCCACTGACGGCCGAAGGTTCACCCAAGCCCAAGGGGCGGAGGAGGTCTACGAAACCGGCTTGCAGAAGCACTTCCCTCCAGCCTGCATGGAACTCAAATGTGTCTTTCTATGCTTGTCTTGTGGCTTGACCAGCGATCCGGCGTAGGCAGTTTTGGCGCGATGAAGGGTGAAATGTCATGTGTTTGTTGGATTGTTTCCAATCAGTTTTGGATATACTGTACCTTACCATAGTTGGGTGGTACCGTCCACCACCTACCAAAATAGTACAGTACTAGTCTAGGATTCTATTTTTCTGAGGTGGGTGCACCCACCTGATTCGAATTATTCCTGAGAGTCTGGACTGTCTTTAAAAATAATCATTGATGTTCAACAAACGTCCAATAACTAATTATAAGGTAAGTTGAGGTGGGGGGGCCCCCCCTGAAGGTTTACTAGGGATTGACTGGGTGATTCATGGCAAGAGCCGCGCACAAGTCTTTCCGCAGTAACCACCAGCAAATACTAAATATGTGCCGCATTATGCTTCTGTCGTCTGCGTGCTTCGCTGGTTACCTTTGCTTGAATACAATTTCCTACACGGTAGGTGGGCTGCTTCTTGGTTCACCAACTCATAAGAAAACACTTGCAGATCAGGCACCAGCGAAAATGCACGCCGTCCCACATGGGAACTCCACATTCCTAAATCTGTGACTCTCAATGATATTTTGGAATAACTTGCTATATATATATATATTATATATATTTTTTTTGGACTGTGTGACTCTAACCCCAAACCCCCCCAAAAAAAAGAACTATTCCAACCCCCACCACCACTCCCTGTCTAAAATATTAGTGCACAGTAAATGACTTCAATATTGTTGTTTGAGGCGTATACTTCCACCTATGATCACCTATGAAACAATTACTGATGGCAAGGGATATGTAGTTTTGAAAACTTTCTTCCGGGAGCTCCAGAAGCAGAAGGAGCAGCAGAAAATAAGGAAAAGGGTGGGAGAGAGGGAAAGGAGGAGAGAGGGAAAGGGGGAGAGAGGGAGATAGGACGAGAGTGCAAAGGAGAAGGAGCAAGGAGGAGGAGGAGGAGGAGGAGGAGGGAGTTGGAGTGAGTCCTTCCTGCTCAAAATTTATTGTCGGGTGGCTCAAAAAAGCCCTGTTGGAATGCGTCCTTCCTCCTGAAAGTTGTGTCCGTCGGGTGGCTCACAGAAGGTCTGCTACGTTAGAATGGCCCCTTCCTGCGCAAACAATCAACCAGGAAAAAAACACAAAAATTGATGCATGTTTCCACCAGGCGCCCACAAACAGAAGCGAAACATAAGCAGGACAAGCAAAAACCAAAGCAAGCAAAAGCAAACGAAAAGGCAGATGCGAAAACAAAAGCAGAAGCAACTGCAAAAGCAAACAAAAAGGCAGAAGCAGAAGAAGCAAAAGCAAAAAGCGAAACTGACACTACTTGAGAAAAAAAGAAAAAAAGCTATCCAGAAAATGAAAGATAAACACAAAAAATGCCGCTGCCACTTCCTGGATGAATCAGTTCAGAACTCCCCAGGACCCAGGTATGCCAATGTGCACTAGTTCAAAAACCCTTCAGTCAAATGTCCTTCTTGCACGGGCACGTGTTGCATGTGTGGCTCAAAGCACGAAATGGGTCGTCCGATGTACTGTACCCTCTTGGATGGGGGCAGTTGCCTGCGAAACCTTGGTGCCAAGAATAGGTTCTTCCACACCAGCCTGGAACAGGCCCACCTTCCGATACACTGCCCAAAACGATCATCAGGGGCGCCCGTCTGCGATGCATCAACTTTTGGGCCATCCCCGTCCTGGAACCCCTGAATACACATCCATCTCCAGGTCGGCTTTTGCGTCGCCCGTCTGCTGCCGAGAGGGGAATTGCGCCTGGCTGAGTTCAACTTCTCTGACCAAACAACTTCTGCAAATTCACACCGCCTTGAGACACACACACACACACATACAGCAGGTCAAAAAATCAAAATCCAGCAAAACTTGGTCGCTCTTCTCGCTTTAGGAGGGTTGGTGTGGACAAAACAACATTGGACCTACACTCCAAAAACATAAGAAATACAATAAACAGTGCAGTCTGGAGGATGACATGTTCTGGTTCTTTGCAATTGTGCTCTTGCCTTAGGATCCTAGAAGGCACCAGGGAGAAGACCCCCTTCAAGGCACCACCCGGTGGCCGGGCCCCCGGTTTCGGGGCCCCGAACTCGCCCGGACTTCGCCTGACAGGAGCTCTGAACGGATTTCACTTCGCATTGGCTCGAGGAGTCGCAGCTCTTCACCTGGCGCCAAGGCGAAGAAAGGTGATGACTGGATGGTCTGCCGAAGGGTTACTGTAGTAATAAACCACCCATATGAAGAGGTTTTGCAATCCAAATGGTAAGTTTGATTAATCAAGAATTGTAATACATTGTGGCATATTCCGACAAGTTGACTCTTAAACATGGCTGCTTGTCGCTACGTGTAAGAGCGCACACAAACATCGTCCTACTCAACCGAAAACAAATATCAAGTTAATCAAGTTGAAGCAGCAAAAGCCAATGCGCCCAAGGATAGCACTTAACTTTACAAGGACACTCCTGCACTGGCACTGGCTGTTGAAGCGTTGGAGGTCTGCCACTCGTTGTCACCAAGCCTTTGAAACAGAACCCCCTCTTTCCAGACGTGACTGATCACAGGGATTCCCATGGTCTCAAGAGAACGGTCGCGGAACCGTGCGCCGTTTGGCGACCGTGCGCCTTACACTGCACGCCGCAGCTGGAAAGGCTGGGCCACTCAGGACCACAAGCGGTGTCCGTGCGTCCGGCCACGACGGGATCCTCGGCGACACCGCCGAGTCAGCGACCGACGCAGGCAGCGACCACGTGTTCCTCAGATTCTACTGGGGACCACGTCGGCGTACCTGCTAGGTATGTTTTATTTTGGGTCTTTCATTGCAGTCGCAAGTTTGGTCCGGGGTTCAGTGGTGAGTGGTTCCATCAATCGGTCAAAAATTATACAATGGAATATTGTTGATATCAGTTATAGTAAAGAATATAATAGGAGATTTGAACTATTCCCAAGTACCAGCGGTGTTTGTACCCAAAAGCCCTCTCCGGATCTGGAGAGCCAGCAACGGCATAGCACATGACACATGATTCCACTCACACCCAGAAGGCCGCGAGGTGGAATCAAAGAAATGGATGACCGGATTGAAAAAATGAGAAGGCTTACATCTTGCAGATATCCTCGGGCCCTTCGTCCATGCCGGAATTTCCAAAAAAAAAGTGAAGTATCGTGAGGTCATCTCTCCTCGATATGTTTCCTGTGAAGGGGTGTCATTTTCAGGTTTGTTGATCCTGTGCCCTGAGGGCCCCTGCCACTTGGCAGGCACTCTCAGTGCAGACCTTCGGGAAGGCTTGGACGCCAATCTCGCGGCACATTTCGCTCTTGCAAGCACCTTTCGAGCGGTGCAATCGAGCGGCTCGGCAGTGGAGTTCGCGGTTGAAAGCCCCCCAAACGGGGAGTCTTGAAAACTGAAGCCATCGTGTTGGAAGGGGTGTCTGTCCAGGGAGTCCCCACAGCTTCGCCCTTCGCCCAGGCCTTGCACGAAGCCGGGCCCCGCTTGTGTCGCCTGCTCTCGCACACTCAAGGACTCGGGCCTGGCCATGGGCCGGTGCGGTAGGAACAGGCCAACAGCTGATCCAAGGGAACCTGTGAATCCTCTCCGTCCCAGTTGGTCCGATGATCGTTGTGGACCAGGAAATCAATTCCCAATTCTTCCCAGCTTCTCTTTGGGGATGGGCCGATTCCGACACCGTTGTGACAAGAAGGGGGGTCAAGCTCGCACCAACGTCACCATGCCGCCACGACTTTTTTGGACTTGTAAAACCCCAATGCGTTCCCCCAAACCGTTCACCACTGCAGCGGCGCCTCCCCTTCCCAGACTCCATGGCAGTAGACAGGCTGGAGCGCTCCTCTTCTGAGAGGCCCTGCGATGCGCGACAGGTCTTCGGAGAGCCAAAACAAGGCAAACAGTCGCTGCGATTCCCTGCGGAGGGAGTTCCATAAAAACACCGTCCCAACCATGGAAAACTCCACCAGAACCGCGATCCCACGGCTCTTCGGCACTCTGAAGAGAAAACACCCTTGGAATCAAGTTGAGGTCAATCGTGCCCTCCCCCCCAACCACCAAAAGTTCAACAAACATTTCCCAAAAAAGCCTCCGTGTCCAAAAGTCCAACGGCGGGGCCGCAACACCCCCTACGACCCTCCACATCTTCAGGTGTGACTCTTCACCTTTCGGTCGTTCGTCGCCCAGAAAGGGACATCAAACGCGGGGGAGCCGGCCTCGAAGCCGGCCAACCGGCTCAACGTGTGGATGGTCAACACCGCCTCGCGGGTCTTCGGTGAGGCGGCAGTTCAAGACCCGCTTCGCGCACGCACGACGGCTTTCGCTTCGCGCAGGGGCTAAAGGTGGTGCGCTGCCTGCCCTGCCGAACCAGATCCATTCGTCCGAAACCGCGAGCTAGGACATGCCATGACAACCAAAAATTGAAGGAAAAAACAAATATATATATATATATAATATGATAATATATGTAATATATTGTGTATTTCATGTGTTTGTTCCATGGTGTTCCCATCTCTGGTGCCAGCTCCCTTTAATCGCCCTGATCCGTGACGGACCCGTGCACGGATGGGGCCCAAGGCCCCATCGCATGCCCGCAGCTGGAGCTCGAGCCCTGGGTTCGGACGTCCGACCGGGCCCAAGGGGATCCCTGCATTCTGCAGTCCAAGGGGAGAAGATGGAAGAAGCGAAGTAGATCTAAGAAGGTCACCTTTAGACTGGCTGGAGACCCTTTTTGTCAACTCCTGAGGCATAAGACCTTGTGCCTGCCAGAAGAGGATTAAACTAAACCTATTAAAACCATAACATCGAAGATCCTGGCACAAGCAAAATAACAGATGGGAGTGGCAAACATAGGGGCAGCGGCTACGGCTATGTTAATTCTAGGAGGTAGGTATGTTGGACATCTGGCACGAACTGCAAGAAATGCTGAGGTGGTGATCCATCAAGCCCGCCCTATCGAGTGGGATCATGCATACCATCGAGACCTTGGGAAAACAAAACATGAAGAGACGAGAGTACAATTCCAACACCAGATGTCCAGTGATTTTGTTGTGATGAGTACTGTCAAGTCTTCTGGGTTTGGAAGCGTCTTACGGTTGAGGGTGTGCAGTGTGGGGATGCTTGAGACATTCTTCATTCAGCAGTACGTACAAACGTATAGGACAAAATGTCCAGAGCAAAAACACACGTGAGTTGTGGTTCCGCCACAACTCTACCCGCCCCATTCGCTCAAGAGCACAGGATTGAAATGCCGGGGTGAATGCAGGTCTTGCGGCCAAAAGTCGCAAGCGGTTTCGTCTCTTGCTGTGTCCATGAAAATATGACATGACATTAGTGTACAGGAACTAGAAGTAAAAAATGATAAACACATGAACAGCAATGTGGATCTCTGATCTCTTATGATCTCTCATTCCTGCCGGTTGACACCCAAAAACAGCCTCTACCTGCCACCCCTGTGACCTTCTCCAGCTCGCTCCGTGCAGGCTCGCTGCGATACTTCGTCCCCGGCCGCAGCTGCGTGAGCTCGTGGCGGAGCTCGCCGCTCCCCGAGGACCTCGGCGGCCGTGTTCCTCCAGAAACTGCGGGGGAAGTGCACGTCCATGTTTGTTGGAGGGAGGGTAGCTGAACTGTCCACCTGTTAGCTTCGAGTGAGGTTTCCCGAAACGTTGCAGCTTTGGGTCTCGAGTGATTGGGTTCGGGTTGGGGCCCACTGAAGCGATTTCGCGGTGAATCCAAGAAGGTAAACATCTTGCAGATGATTCAATATGGATCAATTCTCAGTTCTTGGTGGGTTCTCTAACTCCACAAAGGCCACACCAATACACAGGCTCATCATGCTCATCCTCAAGCCCAGCTCTTTCGTTAGTGTCTCCCAGCACTGTGCGCCTCTCCAGCCGTTCGATGTCGAGGAGTTCAACTCCTCGAGACGCAAATCGGAGCTGAGATCCACTAGTTGACCCCAGCCAAATCAGTTGAGACAGATTTGGTTTCAAAAGAAACATTGACAATGTGAAATTGAGGAAGTAAAAGGCACGACATACATATACATACGGTCTTTCATTCCCACACGTCCAACACCTCAAAACTCTTGAAAGCGTGCACCTCCCAACCTCCCCAAATCTTTTCAGCCTCTCACTGCCCTCAGGTACGTCTACTTTCGTGGCAGAAGGCACACTAGGCGATTTGCAGACAGACTTCCACTGCCCATCAAGGCGATTGAAAGTTGTTTAGAGGTTGGTGATCCACGATGGACGGAGAAATAATGAAATAATGGAAAATATAATATAATATATATATATATGTTATATATAAGTTTTGGGGAAGGAGAGTTGATTCTAGACAAACCATTACAAACCAAACCCGTCGTGTCTTCTGCAAATTCCTTGTCTGCTCCGCTCAAGCAAAGAGTAGAATCAACCCCTTAGATCCATCTGGTGAAGTCGAAAGCCGTAAAATTGCCTATCAATGCACCAAACGTCGACCAAATGGTGCCTCCGCAACCCCGCACACAAACATACACAAACACACCAAACGAGATTTGCACATAGAGTTCCACGCCCCCAACACGAAACGACGCGTACATTGTTGTCGTGTCGTCGTGCGTCCAGGGCTCTCAAAAGCTTCCATTGCTCTCCCACAAACTCGCTCACTGTGAGCTGGTACTCTGTCAGCAGCTGCCGCACCTCGTTGCACCGACATCGCGAGGAAGAAACAAGAAAACACGGCCAAGAAACACCATCGCAATCGGACGGGGATGTCAGAAAGATGGGCCGGTGTTTGGAAGGACGTCCGCGCTTTTTGGGGTTGACAGCCTTAAACTTCATTATATAAACGTCCACAATTTGAAAAGCTGGAGTGCATCGACATGGAAACAAAAGTGCAAATGAATGCAGCACGCCCTAAGAGCATGCAGGGCAACATTTACATTGAATGCCAGTATCCACATGCTTTCTGTCGACGAAAATGCAAAAGGAAAGCTTGCTGGAATAGGAGTGGCTTTTGTTTCCGTTGACTGTTGATGTGTTTTCCCTTGCTTGTCCAAAGTGGGGGCAAAATGTGGTGGCTGCTCGTCCTCATCTCATCCTAAGTCATCGATTGGTTTCTTCAAACACTGGACTTCCAAAAGCTTCTCGTGCAGAATTCACCACTACCAAGTTCAAGGGGATACTGTGGATGCTGGAGCAAATCCTCACATGCCTCGTCACCCTCCAAATGACCCCTGCCTGCCAATCTCCCTGACCTCACCTTCCCACAATAACCACGCCTGCGGGGTGGGTGGCGCCCAACGAAGTGCCAAGAAGGGCACCAGCGCTGCCACCGGCTCCTCACACACCAGCTTGGGCGCCAGCATGGCCTTGGAGACGTGATGGACCAACCAACGGTGCGACCAAGACTTGGATGGTTGTGGGTGGATGGAAACATCAGGAAACGGTTGTTCCAAAAAGGTGGAGGGGAGGGTGGGATCATGCCCGAGTCCTTTAGGTGGTGAACATCGGCGGATTCTTTCATTTATGGTTCTAAATGTCTACTTGGCTTTGACAAGTCATGGCCGACATCCGGGGGTGCTGTTGGGACGCCAAAGCCAGGGTGGCCTGCCAGCATGCCATGCTTGTCACATTCGCCACCTACGATGGGTGATTCTCTGGAAAAGAATCGGTACTACTATGGAGCAGCTTTTTGACAAACCCTTTCTTCCCGAAAGCCAGCAACTCGCAAGAGTCCTACCCAACTCAGCGGCATTCCGGCATTCCTGTCAACCCCAACAACATGTCGGAAGCCATTTCGTGCCCTATTGGAGGCCCCATCCTCCACCTTTCTGATCTTTCTGGCGCGAAAAAGGGGCACCAAGTAGCCGTAGCCCATCCTTGCCCTCCTTGCCATTGGTCCCAAACATCTTTATCCTCCCAACATCCATTCCAGCGGCCGAGCTGTAACTGGTCTGCACTCCCACGGGCAGCAGCGCGGGCGTCACACATTGAGAACCCACATCTTCGGTGTCCAGATCCACCGTCTGCGTCGCCATGCCCGTAGAGCTCAGGCAGTCGTCGCCTTTCCTGAAAGTCAGAGCGTGCCAGCTCACATTGAAACTCAGAGGTCAACAAATGTCTGTAGAAGTGCTTTGTTGAATGGAGAGTGAATCTCCGGCAAATCACTTTGGTCTTTTCTTAGCGTAAAAAAATAAAATGAGTCTTTCTGCTCCAACACCACAGCCAAACACACCCCGAGCGGCTGGTGGGACCGTTCCATTGATCTCCACCGAGCGGCTGGTGGGCGGAGAGATGTCGGATGAGCACCCGCTTGTCGCAGCGAGGGCAAGGCACCATCACCTGCTAGGGCAGGGCACAGCACCCGCCCTGGGTTTCGTCTGCGCTCGTGAAGGGTAGTCATGGATGGGTCCATCTTGCATTTTTGGAGGCCAGGCTTCAAGAGAACATTTGATTCCCATGACCTGACGGGCCACCAACCGTAGCTCTGGAGCACGCTTGTGAAAAAATGTGCAACCGTTTGGCTGTGTGCTTGTCAGTTTGCTTCCAGGTGCCCCATTTAAAGAACAACAATTTATCTTAAGTTGTCTTTTCTGGATGTGGGGTACACGTACCGTATACCAGTATGCCCACCAGCTTGGCTTGGTCCCCAAAATGTGTGAGGAAACAAAAGCCTCAAGGAAGGAGCAAGAAGAAAGGATAAAAGCCTGTCGATCGGGGATCCATCATGTTGCATGTGACTCAAGAGGAGGCCACAACTAATCAGCCTACCATTTCTGTCTCAGGGAGTCTGGCTCTTCTTGAACCACTGGCAGGGCTATCCTCTCTCCGGGCGCAGCCAGTGGCGCCTCAGGGCACTCGTTCTGGTGCGCATAGAGCTCCCGAAGCGCCACGGTGGTGCCACAAAGTCCACACTGCACGGGAGGGCTTCCCAATCGATAGCCTGACAGAGCGGAGCCTTGACTTTTGGGCTGCTTGGGTGGCCAAGTGATCACCTTCCTCCGGTTTCCGGCTTCCTCTTGCGCACGTCGTGCAAAAGAGGAAGTCGGAAACCGGAGGAAGAAGATAAGGAGAGGCAAAAAAGAAGAGGAGACCGAAGAGGAGAAACAAAATGGCGAGGATGAATGGAGAAATGAGTACACTCCGACCGCGACTCCAAGGGACTATTTTCCACTTCCATGTTAGTGAGTCGGAGTGTGTAATCTATAAGTGCTTGTGGGATGTGGTGCGCCAGTGCACGACCCCTCCCTCCTCAAAGGATGCTGAGGCTGGTGACGGGGCATCGTTTTCATTAATATCCTCTTCCTATTTCTGCGATATGCTGCGTCCCTTCTTTCTGCTCCCCCATCTTTCTTGCAGCCCTTGCTAAAATGGAACCCCTTGCAGGTGAGTACACCCTTCTGCTCCTTTGAGGTATCCCCTGTCAATCACCCCAACTGCAGGGAAGTAATGTTGAAGGGATAACTTTCGCATGGGCTGGACTGGGCTTGGATCCTTAAAGCTTGCGGGAAACCAAAGAGAGTCACTCTCCAAGCAGCTCATCAAATCACCTGCAGGTTGCCAGAGATGGGTGTCTTTGATGTCAGTGGTGAGCACCACAGTCATCAAAAGGACGCCCTCGCTATTGGAGTACCTCTGGCATCAAGTCTCAGAGTTGGCGTCTCCCGGGCAGGGAGCGTTTTTCCGTTGGGCATGAGGGAGGCTTCTGAAACAAGCCCTTCCAATAGCTCGCCGGCCAACTAAAGCATCTATATATAGTATATTTAAAGCCAAGGTGTGCCAAGCTGGTTTTTGCCTAGAATCTTCCCTCAAGGCTGCGTGGTGCTTGGTCAGACAGTCATCAAAGGTCAGTTTGTTTGGATCCGCACAAGCGGCAAAAACCACAAACCCCCAGCAGTTCCATGCCGGGGTGGAGGTTAGGGGTGCCCATTGATCAACTCACTTACGGACTAAACACCGCCCCATTCGTAACTCCTGGCCTCAACTGGTTGGTGTCAACCCGATCGAAACATACAGTAGTCAGCGGGTTCAAATTCGACATGGAACCCACACAAGTGCAAACCAAATGCCGTCGTCGGTTAACTCTCCGAGCGTCAGATGTGGATCGGGCTGCACGACGATCTCCCCCGTCAATTTTCCCTGGGCGTTTCTGGCCAAGAGTTGCGGTGGAGCGCCTCGGCGAGGAAAGAAGATGGATCCGGTCATTTCCAGGAATCGAGGATGAGGAGGATTTATGGATTTGGATGGCCGGAACCATTTTGCGGAATAATCCATAGATACATCACCTTTCAGCAGAAGACAAGTTGGGCAAGCCTTCATGAAGGCAAAAACAAGAAAAGGATAGAAAAGGCGTTCTGTCCCGCCATGCAAGCAAAGAAGTGCTTTGATGGATTGGAGCACGGGAGCTATGTCAACAAGTCAAACACATGCCTTAGGACTTCAGGGAATTCGATTTTTTCGGACTTTGGGGATTGATTGCCCTGCAGTGTTGTGAAGGGGGTCAACCGGATAAACCAAGGATCCTTTAGTTTCGCATGTCGCGCGGATCTGGATCAGAAAACTCAATGTAAACTCAACTGTCCTCATTATCGCTTGAAGGGACGATGTGAAGAATCAGAACAGCTGCCCTATCACAGGGGACCATTTTGCAGGATCGACCGCCATATGAACCATGCACCGCCCCCGTGAAGGCTTGCCCTCATCATCCCTCATCCATTCTTTCCGATCGAAACCCAAGCTTCAGAGGGCAGTCCGGGCGATCCAGCTCTTGGTTGCGGCGATGAGGTCCAAGCCGCTGCCTCCGCCACGGCCGGGCGATCCGACTTGGACCGGAGGGCCCCCGGTAGTTCATAGCTGAAATGCCCATGGTTGTGGTCGTGAAGTTTCCTGCTACAAGTCTATGACCAAAGACTGAGCAGCGAAAATGTGGAAGAAAGTCGAAGACTGCGGGGCCAGGTGTGCCCGAGATGGATGTTGTATGTCGCGCATTGGTTGCAACATGTCTACTTTCCTTGGCAATGGATATCTATATAGATTGGACCCAAATACTGGCACACTCTGACCTGCGAATGGAACGGCATCTGTCCCGTCATCTATTTCCTTCGCACTCACCAGATCAGTCGCAACCCCCTGCCTTTGCCAATGCGGCGCAGGGTCTCGCCGTCCATGAGCATCAAATAAGCCGATTTCTCACCCATCCTCAGTGAAGGCGGGCCTTGAGAGGAGAGGGGAGACTCAAAAGGAGGCGAGGCCGGCGGGGCCAGGCCTCCATGCAGCCAGGAGGCCTCCTCAGTCCTGTCAATGAAATTCTACCTACGAGTACCTCCCACTTGAGGGTGAAAAGGCCTTTAGAATATATCGAGCATGACCAGCAACCAAGATTGCAAAGCAATGGGTCGACCGATTGGATCTCTGCTTCGGATCGCCTCCGTAGGTGAAGCGTCCAAAGGGGATGGGGTAAGACTCTCCGTCCCCGGCAGACCCCCGGACATTGCCATGTTATGCTGTTGAATCAAGTCCTGGGACCACCGGTGGACAATTCCATGCTCGTTCGCTGCATGTTCATGGTTCAGTTCCTATTGGCATTCTCGACGCCAACAGCTCTCCATCCTATCCCATCTCCCAACCCACCCTCATCGGATTTTTGGGCCGCGCCACTGCTTCGTCAAGGGCCGCAAGTCATAGCGGACCGCGAAGCTGTACGGCGGCGACTGCGCCGCCAGGCCGCTCGAGTCGCGCAGCTGGAGCAAGGATTTCTTGCCTGGGCGAGGAACAGGGCGGTCACGGCGCCGACGGCTGGAGGGGTGACACGGGCACGATGAGGAATACCTGGATGAAGACGAGGATGAGAATCAGGATCAGGATGGGTATGAGACGATGATGATGATGATGATGATGATGATGATGATGATGAGTTTGTTTCAGGTTGCTGAGAGGATCGAAACTTCCAACAAACCACACAAGACTCTCGGATACTCCCCACTGTTGTTACTGCAGTTGCCACCGAAGGACTGCTCCTGCACCTGTTGGTAGGACTAGGCGCCTTGGTGTTAGTGTATGTTAGTATGGACTGACTATGACTTCCTCGTGGAGCCGTATGATGGAAATGGTGCAGCCCCAGCGTAGGCTGAACAGGGTGCCATAGCACAGGTGAATAAGAACTCGAGTTCGCACAAGGAATCGAGGAATAAGAACTCGGAAAAAAAATGCATCGAGGTGGACAGCGGTTGGTGCCAAAAGCCCATGAAGTTGGCCTCAAACTTCTCTGTTCGACCTTTCGTTCGCCTCGGGGTCAAAGAGTCAACGCGCCGTCTTTCCATCAACCTTGGCAGACATATTCAGCACAGGCACAAAAGTGTCCGGGCCAAAGGGGCGGTGGCCAAAGCTCATCCGGCTGTTCCTGGCACTGCCCTCCTCTGGACCACTGATAAAGGCCACAGCCGGCACCTCCAGAACCCTGATGAATGGGTGGTACATGCAAATACCCAATCAAGTCCTGGTATCAAACTTGCAAAACAACGAGTTCTGTATGCTGGTCTCTGGCGGGCTCTCGATGTTTGACCATGACTCCCACATACTCCCACCACCCTCCCCCCCAACAAAAAAGAAACAAATCACAGCTCACCATGGCCCACCCACCACGTCGGCGCATGGCTCGCACCTTTGGGACCTCCGACAGCCACTGCTCCAAGAGCTCCGGCTCCGCCATGGGCGGTCCACGCCGCGCGTCCACGCCGCGCGGCGCGCGCCGGCGGTCCACGCGCTTCGAGCCGCGTAGCGGTCCACGGCAACTCTCAGGGGTCTCTCTGGAAGTGGGGAACGGAATGGAAGTTCTTTGTGCATGCCTCTGTGATTTGAGATCTCAGGTTCAGCCAAGCTCTTGTCTGTGAAGAAACTCCTACAATGTGAGGCTGAACTTGGGGAGTTCTCCAGTTGCAGAGTTCAGCCCCTCTGCACATCTACTCCTGGAATTCTTGTTGCTGCACCATTCTCTGCCTTGGAGTTGGTTGCTAGCACATTATAGTCCAATTCGGCCTTGTGCCACACTTATGCACACTGCACATCTGGGAAGGACTAATAGAGTGACCAAGCAGATTGTTTCATGACCTTTTGTTCCATAGTGATGAGCTTCCAAAAAAGAAAAACAACGCCCAGCCCCTTATATAACCACTTCTACCATTGGCCGTCTGCTCCGTCTCGGGCCGGACGCATCGGACAAATCCTCCAGGCTTCCAGGCCATGACTCCCTTGATCCCAGCCCGCTTTGCAGCCGAAAGCTGCCGCTGGAGCTGCTCCTGTCGGCGATTCGCGGGGCGAGCGGGGCGAGCGGGGCGAGCTGGCATGAACATCTCTGGTTGATTGGAGAAGGGCTCCGGTACCAGTTTGGGAGTTGCTGGGGTGTTGGCTGAACATGTCCCCCAAAAGCACTCAAATCCTGGTCCAATGCCATCTTCTAAGACATCAACGAGGGCTGCCACTGGGCTTGACCGCATACCCACTGGGTTTGCTCCAGCTTGTCACCCTGCTTATTCAACAGAGAGCTGCCACAGGGAAACACGGACCTTGTTTGTGCAGTGTCTTTCTGCACATCCCAAGCGAACCTGTCCGAGGGCGAGTAAGGTGCTAACAACTGGCGCCTATTCGATTTGGATGCATGGTTGCAGGAGAAAAAACGGTGCACTCAGCGGGATATCCATGGTCGAAAAGCCCGCCATGCCATGAGAATTGCAACTATTCCAATTCTGTTCAGAGTACAGAGTGCAAGTGCAATCAATGGAAGTGTCACTCAAGGCATGAGCCCCAGAACATCTACTTAGATCAGAGCGGCTGTTGATCCAATATGTGGGATGACTTCGTCATTCCACCCCGGATTTTGATGGATTTGGGAGGGCTCCTCTAGGACTAAATGTAGGTGCCCCTATGATCACCCTCACCCAAGAAAGGGTGTTGACACTCAATCTGGCGTTTGCAATCTTCGGCCCTAGGCCCTGCACATGTCCAGCTTGGATATATCCCATTCCCTGTAAATGATGATGGTTCGGGGCCTTTCTCTAAAATAGTGAAATAGTGGTTTGCTTTGTGTGTCGACTGTTGCAGGTTTACTGGGACACCCCCGAATCCCCTATGTCCATCATCAGTTCGTTCCAAGCGGGCCGCCGAGACCCATTTTCGGCCGAGACCAGCCGTCACAGCACCACCCACCCACGCGCGTGACGTCGACAGACTCGACCGTCCTTGTAGCGCAAGGATTGGCCATCATCTGAGAGCCAGTCGAGCTGCAACATCACGTAGATGGGAACCTGCGGGCGATCGTGTGGAGCGATCGTTCCGCCGAGCGAAAACACGGGCGATCGCTGGGCGGAACGTGGAACACAGAGCAGCTGCGCAGAGTGTTGTGAGGAAGCATTCACGAACAGAATGCAGACACGCAGATGGAAACGCGCATCCTTCAGCCTTCAAATATCCCCACGATCCCCACGGCGCAGCCCCCGCACCTTCCCAGGCGAGACCGGCAGCTTCACCGACTTCTTGAAGATGCCGCCCAGGCAGTCCAGCCTCATTCGCCGGATGAACCAGCGTCGGCTGGGTGCGGTGAGCTTTGCACAGGGTGACCTGAGTGACATACCGCAGTCTTGGCGTCCCAAATGAAAGTCCGAAACCAGTGAGATTGTGGCACCATGTAGTACCTACTAAAGTGCTGAATCTAGGAAATCCAAAATCAGTCGACTTGAGAAGGACGATGTGTACATCGCGAATCCCGGTTCCGTATTCTGGGGGCCCTATAAATCTATATGTGGAACTGATTACTGTAGTTTCAGTCGTCTACAGTCTACAGTAGTCCTTTTGAGGAACCAGCAAGCGACACCCTGCCTGCTCCCCTCATCGGAATGTTTCTTCTCGGGGGGCAGCAGGTCGTCTGATTCGTCCGCGGCTCGTTTCCTTCGACACGAGCCGCACGATCGAAGCGAACTCACCGCGATTTTAGCGTTGACCAACTGGTCCAACCACCTAGTGTGGCTGTGTTGCGGGCTGTCAATCAAGGCAAGGGAAAATGAACTATATAGTTTAGTCGGAGACTACTCTTCCAGGTGCCCAACATGTAGCTGCTAATGAGCCTCCCAATACCGGCAACCATTTTATGGGCAATAACCCACTGGTGGTGACCATCGCAGATTTGGGCACATGCCCCGGCAACATCCGGCAACATGTGGTGAGATGTCTATCGATTTTGGCACCTGCAAACCAGCACATTTTAGCCGATATTGGAAGAACAACTCTTGCAAACTACAAGAAGCAATCAAGTTCGAGGTCAAGTAGAGTAGATAAAATTTCAAATACAGCTGCAAAACGGCTTTCTTCCTCTCCAATTGTGCCAACCTTGTTTTGAAAGGACCAGGCCCAGCTTGGCTACATTGAATGGCTCCAAATATCTCCAAGAAGCATCTTTGGCGAGCCAAGGCGAGATCGTTTCCTCCACCCAGTGCACACTGTAAAAAGTCTCGAGCCAATATGGCTCAGATCGGTCAGGCCCTTTTGCAAATAGTCAAGAGAAGGCATCGTCCCATTCTCGACTTTGCGGGCGGGTTAATCTGCAAAACATGCAGGCGGTCAAATCTCACATCCCCGAGAGTCTCACATCTCAAGTGGAGGATGTCTCTGCATATGCCCAAAGAGAGTCCAAATAGGCGGTTCTGATCGTAAGGAGAAAAACCTGAGGGTACAAACGCTACAAGCTCAGTTGATCAAATCCGACAAGCATCCAACCCTCCTCTGCATGCCCCGCGCCTGCATGGACCTGGGCACCACCGGGGTCGGTTGCACCGTTTCTGGGGCTGCGCAAAGGCGAACGAAAGGCCCATGCTATATATAACGACATATATAATAACTGGGTTCGGTGGTGCCAAGCCACTTGCAAAATAGGAGTCCATGGGCCGTGGGTTTATATCATCATCGACAAGAAAAAGCTTCAACATAAACATACCTGAAACCAGCACATAATGGGGGAGGAGGAGGACGTTCGACAACTCTCTGCGGCATGCAAGGAACATGAGCAGTTTTGGCGGGAAACCTTCCCCTGCTCTTCACCAACAGGAATATGCAGTGAACACGGCCTCGCATCGTGTTAAGCACCCAAATCCGCGCGATGGATTTGCACCAAGGCTGCATCATTTTGCATAAATAGCTTGGCCCGATAGCAATGCCATGTGAACAAGGGTCGTTTGGGCAACCACCATGTTTAAAGCATTAAAACTTGAAACTATTCACTTTGAGCACCAGTTGGATCAAAAAGAACTACTTTTTAAATGTTGGATTGGAACTCTAAGGAAATGAGGTCAACTAAGTCAACTATCAAACCTGGCCTTCTGGGTCACACAAGGATTTATAACTATATATACAGTAGAGATTGGCTTGGAAACCCACCATCTTAGCCTCTCTTGTCCACCCACTCTCGAGGCCCCAGCCCAAGCAACTCCATGGTGTGCTCCGCCACCGCCGCAATGCGGTACTTCTCCTGCACCTGCTACCCTACTGCTAAGTTAGAATAAGCCGGGTGCCGGTTTTATCCAATCTTCACAGTTCTAAAAGTGTTTGCGTTGTCCTATCCTATCCCTTATGGGGATGGCCACCTGGATACGGCTTGAACATATGAAGGCCACCTGGGTGCCTCTGTTACAGGATATAGCCACCGTGGACCGATTGAACGAGTGGCCGCATTTCACATCCCAAAACCAATGCGGTCTTCGACCTAGCCATGGAAGGGGTCGATGTTTGAAGCATCACCTTCCTGGGGTGGAAACACTAGTCACTAAAGTCTAAGAACGGGGGGGTGTATTCAACCAACCGAAACTGAGAAACCAAAAAGACGACGCCCAAACCAAGTTTGAGGGCAGCTCACTCACTTGCTTCACACGCGGGAAAGTGGGCCCCCCGGTTTCGCACCACAACCAAACGAGAGGGCGGCGAGGAGGCGTGTGCAAGTCGCCTCCTCGCAAGCTCTCTGCACCTTCCGTCGCACCGCCGCTCCGCCCTGCACGACCTCGCGCATCGCCTCACGCAAGGTGGCGGCGGCGTGAGGGCGGGCGGAGCGGAGTGGGGGGGGGCGTTCCAGACAAAAAAATAGAACACTCACTCCCAAACCCCGGAAACTCCCGATTTGCAGGAGGTCTAGTGCACCTGGATGGAGGTTTTCAGATTGAAGCAATGAAAGTTAGTTTAAAGGAAACAACTTGGAATTCATTGAGTTGAGAGGGAGATCTCCCTTTTGCACACTCGAGCGCGGGTGGCTCAAATCAACCAACAAAGCCTCAAGATTCCGGCAGCTTTGGGTTGCAATTCCGAAATGCTGGGAAAATCCTGGCTACGTTGCTCTCAAGCTGGGTCACTGTCGATCCAACCTGCACATCTTTCTGCCCTCCAGCATCCTATCCCAGCCACCCCGCCCTGGCGCCCTTTTGTTCTTCTTCCGCGGCCCGGCCGTTGCTCGCATCCACCCTTGCAGCGTCCCTCAAATCGGAGGGCCGTTCCTCCACAACGGATCCGTCTTCACCGGGCGGCCGAGGCGGCCGAGGCGGCCGAGGCCGAGGCCGAGGCGGACGATGCCAGCTTCAAGGCATCGGCCAGTTGAGCAGCCGAGCGGTCCAAGGAGGCCGACACCTTCCGCCGGCGACCGGGCCGGGCGTCCAAAGCCCGGTGCCGTGCACCGTGACGCATAGAGCGAACGCCCAAGCACGAGAGTCCGACGGGGGATTCTTTGGGGGGGAGCGGGGGGTTCAGCACGACGGAGTCCGACGGAGAGGGGAAACTTCAATGTGACACGGGTTGACAATGTCAATCCCCAAATCTGTGATACACTCCGACTCGCTCACATAGTAGGTCACAAAGGGGTGCTTAATGGAGGTTAGGGGTGCCCGTTATCCACTCACTTAGGAATCTAAAATGGACTAGACGCCACCCCTTTGGTTTTCCCAGTCAATCCCCCCATCCACGGCTCCGGGCCATGCCAAGCCTGTTTGGCATGCATCTCCTTGAAATTCAACTCTTCCTGTAGCTGTCGGTACTTCTCCTGCATATGGCCGGCTGGCTGACTGGTCTGGCGAGCGACCGGTCCTGGAACCACCTCTCCAACACGATGGGTTCCCAGAGTCGAAAAAACACCACGGCTGGGCAGATCTGGCCAGGTCTTCCGAAAGCTTTTGCGCTTTCGGGAGCGCAAGCGAAGCCGGTCTGGAGGGGGGGAAGTCGGCCATCCTTTGGTGGTCGAAAAGGTGGGAGGCTCCGGTAACTGATTGAAGTTGCACCCATCCGTGGCAAAAAGGATACTTCTCCGAAATCAACCACAAATGGGCCAACTAATGCCGCTGTTCAAAGCCCTGCAGAACCTGAGACCAAATACCTTGGCCTGCCTGGGCTTCTTGTGAGACCTGCCGGAGCTCCAGCGCCCTTGGCTGACTCAAAGGCAGCACTGGTCGCCAGCCCCGGGGCAGCTCGCGGCTAGCAGATTGCACCTGTTGGGTCTTCACGGCTCTTCCGACCCATCGACATCGCCAGGTTCCATGTCGCAGCACCTTCTTGAGACCCATCGTTCCGTGACTGGGGGGGGGCCCTCCAAGGGCGGCGGGGGGAAGCTGGAGATGTATGGGATTCTGGTCTCCGTTCTGTGTAGGATATTGTAACATATTGGGTCTATCCTAATACCAGTAACAGTGGATGACGATGGTTAGTAAAGGCCTTGTCATGTTCAAAAATAGTATATAGTAATTGTTTACTGACTGTTACAGGTAATAGGACAGACCCAAGTAACATAGACATCCAGACATCTCTGGAACCTGCAGCCTTCTTGCGAAGTAGCTGCAGTAGCCATCTTGCACAACCCACTGGGCCCCCCTACGTTCTCAGACAGGCTGACAAAATCGGGAATGGTCCATGGTTTTATATCAGAATCAGGACCAGTTCCGACTTGGAATCCCTGGACGGGTGAAACCCTTCACCTCCACCAGATTCACCAGCTTCACCGGCACGACTGCTTTGCAGGGGACGTAGCGGTGCCGGTGGCTCCAAACCCGCTCCACATGTCACCGTTAACCCCTCAGGGCCGGGAATATTCAAGGAGTGTCCAAGGGACCACTGGAAACCCCATTTCTGGTCTGTTCTGCTAGGTCTTCAATGCTGTTCACCTTTGGCATCCATCTTCCGGCAGTGGCCGCCCGTTTCACGAACCCGGCGCACCGTGCGAAAGAAGATGGGCACCAGTTCGTCGCTGGGCGCCTGGACAACGCACCGGAACCGTTCGATGGGAGCCGATGTTCCAACCGAAACATGCGGGGTGACGGTGCCATTTACGGTGTGTCCATACTTACGGTGTATCCATGTACATCCATGTATATCCATGCATCCATGTCTAAAATAGGGCTAGGTTACCAACTGCTACAGGGTGTTCATCATCATTGAAACAAGGCGGCACAAGACGGAGAGAAAAAAAGACTCACTCAATAACCACACATAAATCATGATGGAGGATGTTGATAGCAACAAAGCCCCACAAAATAGTTGTGAACTCAAATGCCGCCAGGAGTGTGCCACAGGGATTGCAAAAAGGTGGCCTCGATGTGTGACGCACATACGCCGCTTGCGCGGAGGCCTGCTGCAGCTGCCTCTCTGCATGTTGCACCAGCCCGGTAAACCACAGCAGCAACGGGAGCCGTGGATAGTCCGGCCAATGATTGGCGAGGAGTTCCTGCTCAAGGCGAGCAGCAATGGACCTACTCTACTTGACGGTGATGCTTCAAGCCTGTCAGACCTATGCACACATGTGGCAGCAACCCGTTTGAGTTCGTACCTTCTGCTATAGTCATTCTTATAGTAGGCCGGCCAGAAAGACTAGAAAACCATCCCCCCAAGACAAAAACAAGTCAATTGGATGCTAAGAGCATCAGGGATGCTAGCAAAAAGGATAGTATTCCAACCACTGATTCCCACCAAAAAATGGTCTTCCAGTTGATGGTTTTCAGGGTCATGTCAGTCTTCGGAAGGGTCCTTCAAAGTTTAGATTCCAGTTATATATAGTTATATATGATTATATGTATACATATGTCAGACTGGCTGATCCATGTTGGTCGTGATGGACGATCTCTGAATGACACATCCATGGCAGCATGTTCACCCGCTTTGCCTTCCCATGCCAGTCACAAGGATGCGAATTCCGAGGCTTCGCAACCCGGGCATCGACCGAAGTGCCGGCACTCCCGTGGACTCCCCACCTCCCAGAAGGCCACCAACGGTTCCCCGGACAGGAAGCCGACCTGATCGCCGATCGGGGCGGCGAGCAGGTGAAAGGGTGCGATTCGTAGGGCATGAGGGAATGAGGTTGCAATAGAGGGTCCTTCAAAGTTGTGGTTTTCTCCTTGTTCCTTGCCTGTTGCCCCAGTCAAGACCTTGCTGGGGCTTGTCACCTTGTCAGAATGCCGCATTCTGGCCGAAGTCTTCAGAACGCTCGTGGGATGATGATTCTTGGATGGGCCGGTGGCACCGCCTGGTAATACGTTGAGGAAGACCTAGGGTGAGACTTGTGTATCTCGGTGTGCCTGTGGAGTTGTCGCAGCAGGTCAAGTGAGAGAGAATCGTGCTGATTGTGTATGGTTGGGGTTCATGGGGCTGGACCTGGGGACACTTTAGCTGGTTCCCCACCGGAGCACCCCTACCACATCACCAAGCTTCAGAAATTGGGTAGCTTTTCCCAAGCTTTCAGGGCCCAAGGCCCAAGGGGCCTGCAAGCGCTACCCATCCGGAGGGTCAACAGAATAGCCGCATGGCCCAGGGATGCCCAGGGTCTCTTGGGTGTTGAGGTGCTGACCAGCTCAAGGCCCCAGTCAACCTACCGGCCGCAGAAGGCCGGATTCCCTCAACGCCAAATGGAACCCCCAAAAACCTCCTGACTCGCAACCTGGCTATGTCATGGTGGCTTCCTTTTGGAATGCCACCGACCCCCAAACCATGGCGGGTCAGAGCCGCTCGCTGCTCGCACCGCTCGCACCGCTTGCAGCTCGCCCCCTTCCGGTCCAAGTCTCGAAGCCCGAGAGGAGGCACCGCGCGGCCAGCGCTGAGACACACTCCTTAGGCGATGGGTGGGCCGGGTGCCGTGGGATGTCTGGTGGGGTGTCACAAGGGCACGGGCACGGTGATCACGGTTAAAAGGAAGGTGGCAAGGTTACCCAGCGACCCCAGTAACCCTATTCCGATTGAAGACTCGGTGTCCACTGAGCCCCGGAAGGCGTGAGGATTGAACCCATATATTCCATGAAATCACGAAAACCGTGTCATTCGCCTGGTTTGGTATGAGGAACATGTCTTCCATTGCCATGGCCACCATCAATAGCATGCTTGGGCCATTTGCGGAGCAGTGGCCGGTTCCTTCACCCCGGCACCGATCTGTCAAGGCTCTGCCAAGCCTGCAGTGCCTAAGCGTTCAGCCAGTTCTGGCATGGTGGAGGCCACCAGCTGCGCGAGGGCTGCCTTGTCCCCATGGTAGCCTGAGATCGCCAAGCACTTGCCAGTCATCGATGAAGAATCTCCACAAGCGTAGAAAATACAAACTGCCTTCAGACGACCAAAATGGTGGAGTGGGCACTCTAACTTCCTTGTCTTTGCTGGCTCACAGCGAAGCAAACTAATCTGTCCTGTGGGCACCTGAGAATGAAAAAATGTATATAGACTGACTGGTGGCATGTGGGAAAATGTCGCACCCTCAATCCTTGTCTGTCTGTTGCTTCATCTACAGTAATCTACAGTTGCTTTACTTTTAATTCTAGTTCCCGTGCAATCCATACCAGGGCACCCATCATGGCTGGCCTCCTGGAGAAGAACTCGGGGCCCAGCACATCCTGCATGCACAAGTGCTTATCCAGTCCATAGGGACGGAGTTCTAAGCTTCCAGGACTCCATAAGACTGAATCGGACAAGTTGTTGGCATGTGTTCCATCTTATGGGCCAGAAATTAGCTCAGCACTATGTATGGCAGTATCACGCACTAAATCACAAATCTTAGGAACTCAAGGGCTCCACATGCTCCACTCCATCTTCCACAAGCTGCTGGAACCAGCAACGGGAGAGAAAAAGCGAGTGCTCCGCGTTCACCCAGTACCCAATAGAGCCGGGCCTCCATGAGGTATGTGAAGATCCAAAAACCTTCCTCTTCTCTTCCCGCGGTGAAGCCCAAACACATCGCCGCCATCATGCTGCAGCCTGACACTTTTTCAAGGGCAGGCCGGAGCGACAGCGAGTGACAAAGAAATCAGCCCAGTAAACATGCATGAATGAGAACCTTCTCTGATATCTCAGTGAACCCATCTGCTCCTTCAGTAAACAATCATTGGCCACCGAAACTGCTGGAACTGATCCCTGACGGTTTCTCGAGTAGTAAGCAAGTCTTTGTTAAGGATCCAGCCGATTATCTTTGAGAGGAATGGTCTGGCATTTCCGAGCACTTCTGCAAGTTCGATGCTGTCAACCATGATTGATTACCGACACTAGTCACTAGGACCACTAGGATGCCTGGCCTTGTACATATGTCGGCACCGGGTCGCTGTTGGATGCAGAAACCTCTTCTGCCCATAGTCTTGCCTCACCTCCCACTGAATGCCGCATCAGTGGAGTCCGCACACAGGCATCCCCATCTCCCGGACCACACCAGGATCGTCGGATCTTCAGCAACATCGGCAGAGACTTCTGGGGTCTGGGCCCCAAAGAATCCAAGGCACGGCATTCGAAGGCCATGAGCACCCGTGCCAAGCAGCTCTCTCGATCCGCAGCCTCCTCAGACCATCCCCAGTTTCCGCTGGGCTCAGGGATGGCTGGGAAGGTTCTTGCCACATCCAGCTGGATCTGGTGCACCACTGCAGCAGGCACCCCACCAGCTTCAGCCTCTGCCACCAGCGCCCGGTAGGAGCGGCTGTTGGGGGCCGTCCGCTTCCGCTCGATGATTGGCACCACCGCCGGGTGAATCTCCGGTGCTCGACCAGACAGGCCGAAGCAGCCCTTCAGGCGGCGCTTGACTCGACGACGCCACTGCCTGAAGCGTTGCCGCCGGGAGCGTTGCGTGGAGGCGCTTCCCGCGGTTCCCGCGGTTCCCGCGGGAGGTGAAACCGGAGGCCTACCGCGTGTGGGAAGGCCACCCATTTGGGGCTGATGGCTGTCAAGAAAGAGCTTCAAGCGGAAAGTGCTGGGGCAAGCCCCTGTCCGTGCAAACTCTTCAAATTGTTGGCTGATGTTATACATATATATATATATATATTGGATTATATTGGCCTGGTCCTATCCATCCACCATCCACAAGACTTCTCTCTTTACTCACTTTACTCCCTTTGCCTGACTTAATGCCAACTTCAGCGCACCCTCCCAGTGAGGCCCGGGAAGCGCTGCAACCAACGATCCTGAACACCACCACATGCCAGTCTTACACCTCTACCATTCAGTTATACACTCACCCCAGTCATACCCAATCCATCTCTTTTTTGAGGCCCGTCCGACTCACTCCTCCCGACCCGGTCCGCCTGGATGAGGGCCTCCTTCTGGGGCTCCGCCCAGCGGGAGCCCATCGTGGGACCCTCCACCAGGTCGTAGCCTCGGAGCGAACCGGAGCGAAGCCGGAGGTGCGAAGTGTAGTGAGCTGTGGTCGGCTGATGTCACCAGGCAGAGGTATCAAACAGTCAGTAGGTTATGATTATGTCGATTATGTATGATTATGTAATACACTGATGATGTGGGGAGGAAGTAGATCAGTAGGGCGGGTAGACAATGGTCTGACATCGTTAGCGCTTCCCTGCCGAGAGGCTCACAGGCCAGGAATTGTCCTTGCTCATGAAATCCATCTGTCCGCCTGAGCTCGTGAGTTCCCCTCTGGAGCAAAAAAGCGGGAGTTGCGCAAGCAACCTAGCATGCCATACCTAACATGTCCTAACCACTGCGCCTGGAAATCCGTTTCTAAGTTCGATCAAAAACTGAGGGCTTTGGAAGGTGAATTTTCCGGAAGGTGTCACGGCCCGAATCAAACCAGCCCGCACAAGGGATTAGATAGGGATCAGGTCTTTCACCACCCCTTCCCACCAATTGGCTGAATCTATTTAAGTCCAATCTTCAGTGCCAACCAGACTGGTCAGGGATCCCACGGATGGACCGTTGGATGGTGGGAGTGGAGAACCACCAGGTTTGCCCAGTCTCCTCAAGCCTCAAGTCTTCCCATGAGCTGCAATGGCTGGTCCATATAATATATATATATAAGTATATATATATATACATACATGTGTGTGTGTGTGTGTTGTCAGTTATCACTTCTATGTGCTGGCCTCCGCTCCGCATGTCACATCATGTACCCCTTCTGCCCTTGTTTCTGGAGCGCACCCCATCCAGTGGAGATCGTCGGCAAGCCGGAGGCCATGGCCTGACTCGGCGGTCACAGAGACGGACGATGAGCAGCGAAGCAGCGCAGCACGGACCCGGTGGACGACGGGTGGAGATAAGAAGACCTAAACACATACCAACACACAAGTTTGGCGACACCAACGACGAGGAACTGAAATTGTTGTCCAGAAAGAATCGGAAAGAATGGAGCCAAGGTTAGGGACATCAATGCGAAGGGGTGCCTGCAACCCGCCGGACTCTCGAAAAGTGTGCACCCCTGGTCTTATGAAGGGAATTCCATTAGTAAACTCAACTGTGTCCGTGTCCGATGCCAAATGTGCCATGCAATTCGCAAATTGGTCCACCAATTGCCCCTACATTGCTGCAGGACAACAATGTACTCTACAACCCCCAGCCTGTCATGAGACACTCTCCCTTTCATGTCTGGGGTAACCACCACGGGTTTCGGATGTGAGTCTCAAAGATTGCAAAACAAAACTTGGACTCTCTGCAGGTTTGTTGGAAGAGTGTCATGCAAGGGCCCAGCACTCTTCTTCGTAGAACCCGGGAGGTCGAGAGGGGAAGTTGAGAAAGGATTCACAGTGACCAGCCTCTGGTTGAAGTAGTGCTTGAACGCCCATATCTAGCAGAAAAAATGTGGAGTCTGAAGTAGTGCTTGCGGTATTATCGGTATTGTGGTGTGTACGGGGGGCGTGGAACTGTTCGGTCCATGTCTACGCATGCCTCAACAAATCGGCACGAGTTCTCTCATGCGTGCGCTTGCATTCGGCTTCAACTGGACCTTCATCTGAGCTGAATCTGTCATCAAGAATGATCCCCAACTCCTCTGCCACCTCTGAAACGAGCCCATGTTGGGCACACCTGCGAACTGCACCATGTTCATCTCCTTCTTTCCCCATCACCCAGGTCACACAACACGCATTTTCTTTCCCCGCCTCGATGAGTGGCAAGCCCCAGCCTTCCCCGTGGCTGGGCCTGAACGGACGTCCACCGAAGCTCGGAGGGTGAGGTGGAAACTGAGGAGGCACCTCTTTCTGGACATGAGCTTCTTTAGCATTGGCTTTCAGATTACCCATATTGGCCGCACTTGGCATGCCCTTCTTCGGGTGTCGCAACATGATGGGCGGATGCCACCAAACCAGTGCGCGCGGCTAGGCAAGGGCGCCCGGGTCGCTCCTTCGATCTCCCGCATGTTGAGGGCTGAGGGCATGTTCACCAAGGATGAACACCGAAAACCGACACCCAGTGAAACGATGACGCTGCTTTCAGATGCTTTCAGCCCAGTGAAACGACAGCACTCTGCTTTCAGAGGGGGTTTCCCTCTGGGCGACTGCGGCTCCGACAGGACAAATCCATCGACTGCTTTGTACCTGAGACGCACCGGAAATGGATCGTTCACGACTTGCAGGAACTGAGGGAATTGCTAGTCTCGGTGACTCAAGAAAATAGGCATGCAAAACTGAGAGTGGGGTTGTATAATGTTATATATTTAAAAAATATATATATATATTAAAAAAAAACATGTATATATATAATTTGGTATGGGTTTTCACTGGAACATGCTGGAACCAATATATAACTTACAATAAGTTAAATGGGTTCCAGCATGTTCCAGTGTAAACCAATGCCCATGTATATAACTATACTGTTACTCCGAACCTTCGATGATATTCGATGTTCTGGTCCTCATCATAGACTTAGCCGGACAAATCCAAGAGATGTCTATATGATCTAATAATATAGGTTGTTGATGCCTAGGTTTCTGTTGATCCCCTGCATGCACAGGTGCTGAAAACAAAGTGTTCTGCTCAAAATGTTCTAAACTTGAAGACTTGAAGTATGTAAATTGTTGAAAGCCAGGGCAAACGAACTGTTTGTACAGTATCTCTTTGTCACATCAACTCGCCACCCAGCAAACACCATGGCCAAAATCAACTCCACTGAGTGTCTGGCAACTTGGGAATGGCACCTTGGTCACACGTGATCTGCTGCCACCCGCAACAAGCAGTCACTGACCGTCTGCCAATGTGATCAGCTCCAGGACTCAAATCCAGAGCTTTTCTTCAAATCTGTTGCCATTCTTCGTCTGCCTTTTGCCCAATGGCCCTGTAGATGGGGACATGATGGGACTAAGTCCCTGACTCGCGTTGAGAAACTGGTCCACCACCAAGAGTCGTCCCTGCAAGAAGGATATGTTTTTCAATGCTCCAAGATGTGGTGCTAGAACTTGGGTGATTCCACTACTTCACTAATTCATCGCTGAAATTGCGCCTGTATAGGTGTACGTGTATGCTGGTCCTCTGCTTCAAATCTCCCGTTTCCGTCCCTCCAATCCATAGATTCAGGGTCTCTCACCGTCCCTCCTCACAGGAGTTTCCAGCGTCTCTCCTTTACCTTCCCCCTCTACTACACTACCCCGGGTCCATCACGTCGCCTGCAAGGTGGGATCCTTGATCTGAAGTCGGCGCATGAAGGCAGGGATGTCCTGGCAGAAAGGATTGAACCAACGAACCTGTATGATATATATATATATACATATACCTTATCTGACCCTCTAGATATCGGGGATGTCCGGGATACACACCAAATTTATCCACCACTGCAAACAGTGGGGCCTATTTCAACAGGGGGGGCCGGAAACCCCCCACCCAATGGTTGAACTGGCCGAACAGTCGTCAATTCCCTCCATGTTCGCTTTTCTGTTGTGCTATTTTAGATAAGGCCTTGCAAGTGCTCGGCTCCGAAATATGTCATCATGGGCCAACTAACAGCTGATGGGAGTCAACCTCCAGAGTGTCAACCGCATTTTGCATCGCTCAAGGGTTGCGAATGTCCTATGCACGTGATAGGTACGATAGCTTAGTAGGACTAGTACATCAAGCGAGATTACTACAATGACAGCAAACAGGATCAGCATTCACAATTCTGTACAGGGTTCCCCACCAAGATAAATATGGTTGGGAAAGCATTTGGTCTATCAGGGTCTGACACTACTCTATCGCTTCTCTCTCTCTCTCTGCAAACCAAAAAGGCCCGTCCCCGCACTTGTGGCACACCCCACACTAATCAATCAACAGGCTGGTAACTTCCCCCCCCTTCATGTGAAACTGTCCCATCCGAGCCTCCCTGGGATCATCGCTGGACCAGCTCAAGGTCTGGGTCTTGATCACCAGCCGCACCGAGCTCGGCCCAACGAACGACCGAGCCGAGCGATCCGGGGTTTCAACGCTCAGCCCGGTGGCTGAAAATGGACGGGAAGCATCCAAAAGACCGGCATTTGAGGGGTGACTGTTGAGGAGTGGAATCCGTGCCATGTTTTTGGCGCTTGCCAGAGCGAGAGACCCAGAAATGAAGCGCTCGGATCTGTGGGCATCCTTTCTTGGACCAAAACCTCAAGGCCAATGAACTCACCAACAACCTACATATGGACCCAATACATATAATATAAACCTATTATGTGTTGACCTATATGACTATATAGGCTTTCAGACACTCCAATCCCCTCACTCCTCGGTCCACCGGCTCGACAGTACCTAAGCTCGGAGCACGTTGGCCGCCTCCGGCGTCATCTGCCTGCAAACGAGCGGCGGATCCACGGTGAACACCGGTGGATCGAGGAGTCTGTCCAGAAGGTCTAGTAGCGAACCACTGGCTCCAAAGAAGTCTAAAAAGCATCAAAACGATGAGGTTCACTACGGAAGATCAAGAAGTCTATGAGCTATATTGTCATATAGTTAATATAGTTTGAAGTTTTTTCTAGGTCACAATGTTGGCACAGTGAACACCGGAGTTTCATTCAGATCCTGGGCGTGGGGGGGGAGGTTGGCGGAAACCCGCTCACGGAACACGCACAACCGCCGGAGTCGGGACAGTCGGCGTGGTCCACATGGATCAAGCTGGCTGCCAAGGGACGTGTAGAAGTCGGGGAAGGCTTCAATAAAACTGTCCTGCGTGCAAAACACCAAGACGGAGGGTGGTCTACGGGCGGGGTTGGTCTGCGCTCGTGATGGGCAAATTGTCAGAGCCCCCAAACGGTTGAAAAGGATTCAAAACAATAAGTGAGGGATCCTGTGGAACCAATGTGAAACTTTTCTTGGGCTGGCCACATTCAATCACACATGCAGCGAACCCACAGAAGTTGGACCTGGGAATTTGTGGTCATGATCTCCTGAGCCCCCGGCTCAAAAACCAAACAAAAACCATCCCCCATGACATCTCACATCCCGGTCACACCCCCGGTCACTCATCGGCCATGGATCGGCTTCTCCCACCCCACCGACAGCACTGAGCCAAGCCCCACTGCGACGGGCGTTTGCCGTTTGAAAACCCCCGAGGCGTGTGAGCCACCACGATTCTTGGCGGGGGAGCTATATAGTGTACCAAAGAGAATTTACCAGGAGTCACAAAGGGGTGGTTTTTAGTCCCTAAGTGACAAAGTGAGTGGATAATGGGGTGGTGGGCACCCCTCTCCGTTGAGCACCCTGTGTGACTGCTGGTATGTATACAGTATATTTATATAATATATATATATATATATCTGTGTGTGTGTATGTGTGTGTGTGAACCAACGAGCGACTGGGATGCACCAACCAGATGGTTCTGACCACCCCCGAGGACACCCCTCGTCAAAGCGCCCCAAAACAATGCGCTCCAGAAGGCCCTCCCAGTTCTTCCGCGGCTCCCACTTGAACATCGACCTGGGTGGTTCTGGGTCGAACAAGGGACAGGTTTGGACCTTCCAAAAGCCACAAAAAAAATAGAATCTGGAAGATCTCGATGTGCGGACCCTGGGAGTCCAAGACCATTTTTCAATTGATTGACCAAAAACAATGGTTATTCAGCAAGAACCACTAAATCAATGGTGGTTAGAGGCCTAGGGTGCGTATTTCAATGTATATACTGTTAAGTGTAGTAAATAAATACTATATATATATATATATGTGTGTGTGTGTTTCTGTGTGTACTGTACCCTCCCTCCAACATCTTGGTTCATGGAAGTGGGGCGGCTGCCAAATAAGGTTTCCTCAAGAAGGTGGTTCTGCTCAGCTTCGGAGTGAGGGAAGGCAATCGTGCGGCTGAATGAGCAGAGCACAATCTGCAGGTTGACATGGACTGGTCTAAAATTGGGTCGGAGTCGTAGCCACAAAACACCAATTTGGAGGAATCCGTCCGTTGACATGGTGGAAGAAAAAGAGGTCGTGATTCAAGGAGACATTTGGCCAATGTTTAGGGTAAGGCCGAAAAACGACGCGGCTATATGGACTGCCCCACGCTAAATGCAAAACAATAGTCAACCTGCGGTTTTGTGGGCCTTTTCAAGCCAAATTCACATTGATGTGAGTCAAACCTCTGAGGTACGAGAAAAGCAACTCAAATGGAGACATGACCCATTTTGGTGTCCCCTTGATCATTTTCAGCCCTAAGCCACCAAGCAGTTTTTTGTGGGTACACTTTATGCCATGGAAGTCTGTTTGAACCAGCGTCTTGAACAGCCCCCTGGCTGGACCGACCACCCATGTTGACAACCCACAGGCGCCGCACAAGAAAGTGAAGGAGCTCCGCGGTGTCCGCGACAAGAAGTCATCTAACCTGGACTGCGAAAAGGAACACCCATGGCCTATTTCAAAAGCCACCTAGAGGGCCGAAAGTTGTTCTGCCCACAACCGAGTTGCCAACGACTCTAAGAATCCAGACTGGGGCAAGGCTTTGAACTAGCGTTCCCCATGTAACAGAGAAACCCGCCCGTGACCGAATGGATGGGAATTTTCTTCAGCTGTGTCAAGCGCCACTCGCCCGGTGCAACATGCACACATCTACTCACCCAAAACACATTGCAAGAATGGTTCCTTGAACGAATTCATCTTTAAGTTGTATCATGTTGCATTCCATGTTCCACCTGATCAAACACCCAAACCATCCTCGACCCCAGCGTTGGGCTCCCGGCGGCGAAGACACTGTACCCGAATGGAACGGGACCCGCCTCAGGCAGCGGTGGGAAGTCGAAGGGCCGGTGAGACGGCGACCCCCCGGCTTTCGGTCGAAAAGCCAATCCCTTCATCAACAAATGTATTGGGAAACCGTTTCTAAGCCGTTTCTGGAAGCCACTATAACTAGACTATAACTCGGTGATTGCGTGAGGAGATGCACACTTTGTTCGGCCTGCTGCATCAACCATTGATCTAGAAATGCTCGACTGCAAATTCGCAGGTGACTCCTTCAAGCTGCCCGCCCACCTCATCCTGAGCTCTGTACGTGCGCGATTCTCCTTAGCAGCCGCTGTTTAAATGGGATGTATTGGATTGATATCTGCACTAGACACATGCTTAAAAGGACACACCAAACGAAACGAAGTCTCATTCTGATGACACTGAGATGAGATAACGGACTGGGCTGCTTGGATGTTCTCCGATTTGACGCCTGCAGCCTCTAATCCCTCTGGATCTTATCTTCTGAGGTTCCTTGAGGTTTCTTGGTATAGCTTGCCAAAGGTCAAGCAAAGAGCTGAAAGGATATCCTGAAAACGGCACTGCACATAGAGACATAACAAATTCGGTGCATGTTCTCACTCACTGGAGCTCCAAACCTCAGTGGTTCTCATAGATCAAGACGAAAGGGTTTCTTCATCCAACCTCATCCAACCACTCCACCGGATGGAACCACTTCCCATCGGCCAAAAGGCTGCAGCTGAAGAGTTCCGTGTCCACCGCTTCCGGCAGGATCTGAGTTTCGATCCGTGTCCACCCCACTCGAGGCTTTGGAAGAAACCCCACTGAACAAGCCCAGAGACTCCTAGTTTTGTGTGGGATTTGGGGGATATTCCCCTACCTGGACTCTACCCTACCATGGATCTTCTATGGTTTTGGTTGCGCGACAGGTGGAGCAACATGTGGCCAAGACGTTCGCGTCTAAACTTGACTCTGCATGGCCAAAGGCGAGGTCCTACTCGCGTCTCTCTCGCTTTTCTTCAGGCTGCAGTCTGCCCCCAGACAAGGGGGTGGAAAACCAAGGCTTTGCATCCAGGAAAGCAACTGAGGGAACCCCAAAACATTCGAAACCACTGGCTGCCTTTCGCTTCACAAGGGAAGCTCATCAAAGCATGTTTTCTGTCAACTTATGTCTAACTTCTCCAACCAAAGTAGTCCATGTAGGAGGCTCAAAATCCCACCCACCAAGCCAAACACTCTGAATTCCACACCTTCAAGCGGTCCTGGCCATCGAACCCCGAAAGATGCAAGTGACCGGTGGTGCGGGTCCTAACCCCCTTTGGAAAAGGCAGATCTATAGCCCTCGAAATTGGACATGCAATGCAGCAGTGCCTGGCAGGGGCTGCTTGATGTTCAATCACCAAATAAGCGGTTGAGGTACTCCATTCCCTTTGATATCCCTTGATGTTGGATGAAATTACTGAAGCCCCCTGGAAGCCTGGGTCTTCTCTTTCGAACCGCATCCATATCAGGATGGACTGCGCAAGACTCAAAATCACCTCGGACCTCCCATAGACTCATGAAACCTGCATCTTGAACCCCTGGCCGCGGCCCAACCTCCCCCCCAGTGACGCGCCCCTTTTTGCGGCCTTCCCCCCCTTGGGCCGACCGGCTCTTCACAGAATTATCGCATGCAAGTCACTGTGCAGCCGCCGCAGTGCCGTGACTACAACCAGAAAGGATGACCTCAGCTGCTCCAAGGTGCTGTACAATGCCCCTGCTAGCTGCCACAGGATGACCGCTCACAGCGCAGCACAAGCTGAGAACCTGCTGCCTGGCGCAAGGCTCGCACAATCTCAGAAGTAAAATGTTCACCTGTCCCCTCAACTAAAACATAGAAGCAAAAGGCCAACTGTGCGGGGTATGTGGCAATGTGGGGGTTATCCCTAGGCTAGTGAGGAAAAAAGGAACGAGGTGCTGCAACAAGTCCACCCAAAAACACCGTCACTGACAATGCACACTTCAAACATCTCCACCGCGCAAACGCCTCGAAAGTCCCACTCGTTTTGTGGCTGATTGGCTCAAGACCCTCTGGCAGGTTCTCCATCAGCAGCGATTGATTGAAGTTCCCACTGAGGCTCATGGAGAAGCAGCGCAGGCCACGCAAAATCTGGAGCTGGTCTGCCAAGACCTGCAAAAACAGCGAAAGCAGGAAAGCAGAAAAGCGCCATGCAGCTGAGCCCTCAAATGGGGCACCTTGGTGTGAAAATCCATGGAAACAACTACGCATATGTCTTGAAAAATGTAGGGTCTGGTATTAGGGTTGTCGCCCAACGAACCCTACACGGGTCAGCATGGCGTCCTTCAGAGACTTATTGCTGATATTGCTGCTCGCCGCACTCCAAGCCAAATGAAGGGACTCAAGTCCTTCAGGCAGCCTGTCGCGGTAGCAAAGCTGGCACATCACCCAGGAAAGCAGACTTGCCAACATGTTTCAGGCACATCTAAGATCTAAGACTCTAACATGCCCCTAAGACTCTAGAGGCCCCTGTACCTGCAAGAGAAGGAAAAAGGACCAAACTGCACGGTAGGCGTGTATATTGTATACAGTCGTGCAAGACAACTATTGTTGTGCCACAAAGTGCGGGTCTGACAGAAAGAACGATCTTTGGGCCTTTCAAGCAGTCCTTTCATGGACTTGTCGCTGAAATTGTCCGAGACCGGGAAAGGGCATTCAAGGCTCAGGCTCAAGGAGGTCAAGCGGTCTGAGAGCTTCCTGTCAGAGAGCCGCTCTCTGGCAAGCATGCCAGAATCATGTGGTGAAATAACAGTTAACCTCTCAGATTTGGAACGAACGTGCAGTAGCTTAAATTAATATAACTATATAATCAAACCTGCCCGTTTTGCAGATCATCCCCGCAATAACGCGACGACAATTACAAAAGCACCCCAACTTGTCGCCAAACAACTTTAATGTCCAATTGTCTCAGGGCACTGTGGTTACAGTAGCCGAACGTGACTGGGCAACGCGTCCTCTGTGTTGAAACGAAACATCATCGATAAGGCCCAGTCGCTCTTGTACAGAAACAACTCGTGCGCGGTCATGCGTCCCCCATGTGCGACGTTGTCAGAATCACAAGTTCCTGAGTTCCTCCGGAAACTAGTGGCCCACGCCCGCTGCTGCTCGTGGCAAGGACACTAGTCAATCTAGTCGTATGATTCCTTACCTCAGCAAACCACGGATGCAATTGTGAAACTATATGTCACATGATCTCACATGCGCCCCCGCCCACACTACGCCTGGCCACTTCGTCGATGACCTCATTTCTGATAGCACCTTTGCTCCGGAAGTGCAGGCTGAGCTCGGTCACCGTGGGTGGCCACGAGCGAGCCAGATGAAACAAGGGCCCATAGTCGCCATTGCCATCCTCACTGGGCCAACCAACAAATGTTCCCCAGCATGGGATGGCAGGGGTGCGGTAGTCCTCTAGTCGGGGCCAAAGATTTGGGAAAAATCTACATGAGTGTCCACTCCCTGAAGTACTCGTGGAGGTGAAAAGTGGCTCCTTGGATGAACGCTTTCCTCTTCTATGACTACTTCAGGGAGTGTAAAAGCCTTTCGGTCCTTCTGAGCATCTGTCCGCGAGTGCTCGAAAGCCCAGCTCAAACACCTCAACTTCTTCGGCATGCGTCCTCAGCCATCCCAGCCCTGCTCTTCGCCTAAACACCCCCCAAAAAAATGAAGCAGTGTCAACACAAGAATACCTAGGGGTGGTGCCGAGATTTGGTGTAGATTTCCTTGTTCAAGAAAACTTATAAATTCCAGAAAGCAACTGCTCATTACTTATAACTTATTACGGTACTCCCTTTCAACGAGACCTCCAATTTGTCGCGCAGTCGCCGTCGAAAATGCAACTGAAGCCGGTGGCTCTCTTTTAGGGGATCTTTGTGTTTTACTTTGTAGAAACCAGTTGGCCCCAGCTTCTGGACAGCTGATTGATGGTCTTCGCTTCCAGGTTCAGATGGCCCTGGAAGTTCAACTTCAGCTCCACCAGCTCCGTGTTGCGCGCCAACACACGCGCCAGCTCGAGAAGGGAGCCATCACTGAGCGTCCAAGTTCCAGGGAACTCCAATCCTCAAAGCTCAGAGTTTGCTCAGAGTTCCCCTCCCTTAACTCCACCCAGCTCCGTTCAGTGTTTGGGGGGAAGCTTCCCACTTGGACTGCCACGACTCGTGGCGGTGGACACCACCGTTTCTGGTGCATCTGCGCGGGAAAAGGGAACCCTTGGTGCAGTGCGTAAATGAAACAAGGGATGCATGTCGTCCAATGGGTGGACTTATTGACTACTCCTCTGACCGAGAATCCGAACCCATCGGAGTCCGAAAACTCTCATAAGGATGTCTGCTAACCAAGTCAAAAGTAGGTTACTGTATAGGGATCCAAATCCGCCGACCCCACTCGTGGGGTCAGGCGTGACTGTTGATGAAGGCTAAGGCTATGATTGAGGCTAAGGCTAAGGCTAGGCTAAGGCTAAGGCTATACCTCCCCTACCCCTCCGGAGCCTTGTTGCAGTGACGAAAAGGTCCCGAGATTTGTGCAAGATGTGTCCAAGATTTGTGCAAGATTTTGCCAAATGTATTGGTTTGTTTCTTACTGGGGATTGGCACCCTCTCCACCCGCGCGGGAAAATAAGCACGGTCCGTAAATGGTTCCGGGCTCGAATCCCGGGCTGGTCGCGGCCTGGTCCCTGCCAGTGCCCGTGGTTTTTCCTAGACTGTCTAACGTTTTCTGCTGGATTTCTAGGATTTTCAAAGGTTTTTGTCAGATTTACTTATGCCTTTCAGGCCTTTTGCGAGGGTCTTTTTCCAGCATTTTCTGTTGTTTTTTCTAGATAGTTCTGTGGTTGTCTAGAGGCTCCGTGTTGTTTTCTGGGCTCCCAGATTTGCAAAGAAAAATGCTAACCCATTCTCCTCGATGTTCTAACGTTTTCCGCTGGATTTCTAGGATTTTCAAAGGTTTTTGTAAGATTTGCTCATGCCTTTCATGCCTTTTGCGAGGGTTTTTCCAGGATTTTCTCTGGTTTTTCTAGATAGTTCTGTGGTTGTCTAGGGGCTCCGTGTTGTTTTTTGGGTTCCCCGATTTTCAAAGAAAAATGCCAACCCATTTGCCGTGCTCTCTTCTGCCTACTTTGGTGATGCAGTGCCAGATCATGTCTCTAGGCGTTCCGTGTTGTTTTTTTGGGTTCCCAATTTTTCGAAAAAAAACTCTTAACCCATTAAACCTAGGCCATCTACTTCCCTGGGGGTCGGCGGCTGCCAGGCGTTAGCCTGGTTAATCCGGGCGCCGGCCAGGACGCCCGTGGCATGCCCGGAGGGCCTTCGGTGGTAACCGAAGGTTATAGACGGTCGCGCCGGCTGCCGCCGACCCTCGGTCCCAAAACGGGGGGACGACCGGTTCACTGAAGCCCCTGTAATTTACAGTGTATCGTGTGTGTGAGGTATAAAAAACACTGTGTTTTACAGGGTTTCGGGCCCCTCGGCAGCCGAGAATTTCATCTTGGCGATGTCAAAAAACCTAGGTTTTTTCATGGTTTTTGCTTTGCGGGAAGGAAAAAGTCGTAAAAAGTTGTATCGGAAGATTTTTTCAACATAAATCGCCTAACATATCCCCAACATAGGCCCAAGATAGCCAACATATCCCCAACATATGCCCAA